CTCTGCTCAAACCGAAGGCCCTGCCCATTGTTATTACTATTGTGCCAGTGTAGTTCATTTGGTGAATCTTGGACCTGCCGATGGTATCAGCGCGAAGCGATAATGCGCAGGCCAGATCATCCACGCGAGGCACTATTTCGGGCCCAGCCTTGTTTCGATCTCCAAGGTTGACGCCCACAGAGACATCGACGAAGAAGGGCTCTCGGCGCGTGAGAGATTCCTGCGCCAAGGGAGCTTCTATGCTGATGTTCCTAATAAAGCACCTGACATGTCTCCAGCTGAGTTCGAAGCTGTAAATCATCATATTGAAATCTCGCGAGCGGTCTTGCTTGCGGGTGCTGAGCTGTTGCCACTTTGGCCAAACCTTGAGTTCAGGGGCCTGAAGCGTATCCCGCCGCCTTCCGCCCCTGCTGCTCCTGTTTTAGAGCTCGTCAACGACTGGTCCCAACAAGGCTCGTGCTGGCGTTGTCGTGTGTGCCTCCGAGGGTCTCGGGCGTTGTCCAAGCCGATTGGGGGACCGTGCCCTGGGCAGTCTCGTTTGGACCAGGGACAATTGGAGAGACTGGGCCACCGTGTCATTGCCTTCCCTTGCAGTGACGGTGGCCACCTGTTCTTGTGCATGTCGTGCAAGTTCTATAGCAGTGGAGGTCAGGTTCTGGGCCTTGACCGCAAATGCGGTCTCCCTACGGTGACGGGTGTGAAGAACATACGCCGTCTCCGTAAAAAGGCCAGCACCCTGATAGGGAGGTTGTTTCTGTCGACCTTGACGAATTCATCCCACTGTTATAGATCACAGGTAATTTGAGCCTGCCCATCCAGTGCGCCTCAGGCTGATGCAGGCAGGTCACCTTCACATCAGGGGCATGTGCGTTGCTGTCAAAAAGGAGGAGGGGGAGGAGGAGGAGGAGGAGGAGGAGGAGGAGGAGGAGGAGGAGGAGAGGAGAAGAGGAGAAGAGAAGAGGAGGAAGGAGGGCCCCAAGCAGGGGGGAGGCCAGGCACGAGCCGGCTACACACACAAACACACACACACACGCACACGCACACGCACACGCACACGCACACGCACACGCACATACACACATACACACATACGCACATACGCACATACACACATACACACATAAACACATACACACATACACACATACACACATACACACATACACACATACACACATACACATACACACATACACACATACACACATACACACATACACACATACACACATACACACATACACACATACACACACATACACACATACACACATACACACATACACAAACACACACACACACTCACACACTCACACACACACACCCGCGTTCCCACATGCTACAGCGAGCCTTGTGTGGAGTCGCGTGGTGCAGGTGCTGCCCCGTCACACCGCCCTGAACGGGCTGGTCCACCCACCAAAACCGACAGCGGCACCCACCGAGGTAGCGTGGGTTGTTCGCGTGTCGCGTGAGTGTCGGTGTGCCCAGTTCCGGGGCGGGACCGGTCCTGGTGGATGGGTGCATCAAGAGCAGTGTGCGGGGTGTGTATTTTGGCGTTGGGTGGCCGCACAGAGGACCGTGCCCCACCCACGTACCTCCCCCTCATCCACTGCAGCCGGCATTGCTTGCCTTGGCGTGCGGCCTGGTATGGGACGGTGCGAGGATACGGTGTCCCCGCTATGGGCGGGCAACGAACGAACGAACACAAACACACACAAACACAAACACAAACACAAACACAAACACAAACACAAACACAAACACAAACACAAACACAAACACAACCACAACCACAACCACAACCACAACCACAACCACAACCACAACCACAACCACAACCACAACCACGACCACAACCACAACCACAACCACAACCACAACCACAACCACAACCACAACCACAACCACAACCACAACCACAACCACAAATACAAACACACAAACACAAACACAAACACAAACACAAACACAAACACAAACACAAACACAACCACAGACACAGACACAGACACAAACACAAACACACACAAACACAATCACAAACACAAACACAAACACACACACAAACACACACAAGCACACACGAACACAAACACAAACACAAACACACAAACACACAAACACACAAACACACAAACACACAAACACACAAACACACAAACACACAAACACGCAAACACGCAAACACACAAACACACAAACACACAAACACACAAACACACAAACACACAAACACACACAAACACACAAACACACAAACACACAAACACACAAACACACAAACACACAAACACACAAACACACAAACACACAAACACACACAAACACACAAACACACAAACACACAAACACCCAAACACCCAAACACACAAACACACACACAAACACACAAACACACAACCACACACACACACGCACACACACGCACACACACACGCACACAGAGAAACACGGAGACACACAGAGACACACAGAGACACACAGAGACACACAGTGACACACAGAGACACACAGAGACACACACAGAAACACAGAGACACACAGAGAGACACAGAGACACGGAGAGACACAGAGAGACACAGAGAGACACAGAGAGACACAGAGAGATACAGAGAGACACAGAGAGACACAGAGAGACACAGAGAGACACAGAGAGACACAGAGAGACACAGAAAGACACAGAGAGACACATAGAGACACACAGAGGCACAGGGAGGCACAGCGAGACCCAGAGAAACACAGAGAGACACAGAGAGACACAGAGAGACACAGAGAGACACAGAGAGACACAGAGACACTGACAGGCCCAGAGAGACCCAGAGAGACGCAGAGAGACACAGCGACACAGAGAGACACAGAGAGAGACACAGAAGAGACACACAGAAGAGACACACAGAAGAGACACACAGACGAGACACACAGAACAGAGACACACAGAACAGAGACACACATAACAGAGACACACAGAACAGAGACACAGAGACACAGAGACACAGAGACACAGAGACACAGAGACACAGAAACACAGAGACACAGAGAGACAGAGAGACACAGAGACACAGAGACACAGAGAGACACAGAGAGACACAGAGAGACACAGAGAGACACAGAGAGACACAGAGAGACACAGAGACACAGAGAGACACAGAGACACAGAGAGACACAGAGAGACACACATAGACACAGAGCCACAGAGCGACACAGAGACACAGAGAGACACAGGAACACACAGAGACACAGAGACACGAGACACAGAGACACAGAGACACAGAGACACAGAGACACAGAGACACAGAGACACAGAGAGACACAGAGACACAGGGACACAGAGACACAGAGACACAGAGACACAGAGACACAGAGACACAGAGACACAGAGACACAGAGACACAGAGACACAGAGACACAGAGACACAGAGACACAGACACAGACACAGCGACACAGCGACACAGCGACACAGCGACACAGAGACACAGAGACACAGAGACACAGAGACACAGAGACACAGAGACACAGAGACACAGACACAGCGACACAGCGACACAGAGACACAGAGACACAGAGACACGGAGACACAGAGACACAGAGACACAGAGAGACAAAGAGACAGAAACACAGAGACACCGAGACACAGAGACACAGAGAGACAGAGAGACACAGAGAGACACAGAGACACAGAGACACAGCGACACAGAGAGACACAGAGACACAGAGAGACACAAAGAGACACAGAGCGACACAGAGACACAGAGAGACACAGCGACACAGCGACACAGAGACACAGAGACACAGAGACACAGAGACACAGAGACACAGAGACACAGAGACACAGAGACACAGAGACACAGAGACGCAGAGAAACAGAGACACAGAGACACAGAGACACAGAAACACAGAGACACAGAGACACAGAGACACAGAGGCACAGAGACACAGAGACACAGAGACACAGAGACACAGAGACACAGAGACACAGAGACACAGAGGCACAGAGACACAGAGACACAGAGACACAGAGACACAGAGACACAGAGACACACACAGACACACAGGCACACAGACACACCGAGACACAGACTTACAGACACACGCGCGCACACACACGCGCACACACACGCGCACACACACGCGCACACACACGCGCACACACACGCGCACACACACGCGCACACACACGCGCACACACACACACGCGCACACACACGCGCACACACACACACACACACTCACACACACACCCACACACTTACACACACTTACACACACTTGCACACACACGCACACACACACTTACACACACTTACACACACTTACACACACACTTACACACATACGCTTACACACACACTTACACACACTTACACACGCACTTACACACTTACACACACACACACCTTAAGAGTGACCCTGGGCAAGAGTGGCACCCCTGCCTCGCGGCTGCAGTGGGGGCCGTGTGTGGTGGTGGGGGGGCAAGAGCCCGAGCGCCCACGCCAGTGGCCAAGACCCCCCGTGGGCCCGCAACTAGGGCAGGTGGAGCAGGAGGAGCAGGAGGAGGAGGAGGAGGAGGAGGAGGAGGAGGAGGAAGAGGAGGAGGAGGAGGAGGAGGAGGAGGAGGAGGAGGAGGAGGAGGAGGAGGAGGAGGGAAGGAGGGGGAGAGGAGGAGGAGGAGGGAGGGCTCCAGGCAGGGGGGGGGAGGCCAGGCCCGAGTCGCCTATACACACCTCAGAGAGCGACCCTGGGCAAGAGTGGCACCCCTGCCTCGCGGCTTGAGGTTGCCGCGGACGGGGGGGGGGGGCAGGAGTCCGAGCGCCCACGCCAGTGCTCGGGGGACCCCTGGCAGGCCCGCGCCGCAGGCAGGCGGAGGAGGGACGGAGAAACTGCGAGGGGCGTTTTCCAAGCAGCGGTGCCGTGGCGGAGGCGCAGCAGCGCGAGCGGGAGGCGCAAGGTCCGTCCGAGCGGGAGGCGCTAACTAACAAGTGCCGGCATGCGTTGGCGGAAGTCAGTCGTCCAGCATGCAGAGCAGGGCGGCGCCCCGCCTCACCCAGTGGCCCTGGTCCTCCTCCCTGCTGGGGAGCTGGAAGTAGGTCACGAAGTTCGTGGAATGACCTACCCGCCCCTCATCCTTCGAGCAGGGGGTCGCCTGCAGAATTGATTCACCCCAGAATGGATGTTTTATCGTCGAATCCATGAGGGACGCGCCGAGTGTTCGTAGATCTACGAACATTCTACGCATGATTCGACGAGTTTGGGGTGGATCAATTCTGTAGGTGACCCCCTACTCGAGTCCCTCCTCCCCCCCCCGCGCTCTCCTCCTCTGGGCCTTCGGGGAGGCCCCCCTCGTCGCCACGGCTGCCAGGGAACTCTTCCGCCCCGCCCACCCAGCCCTGGCTCTCCCCCTGCTCTCCTCCCAGCTGGGCCTTCGCGGGGCCCTCCCTCGTCGCCACAGCTAGGCGCGGCTCGGATCATGGATCAGGATGCTGAACACAACGCTCGACCTGAACTTCCCCCCATGTCCGTGTTGTTTCTTGTAAGATTGCTTTCGCTTGCATCGCATAGCATAGCATAGCACACCATCGCATAACATAGCATAGCATAGCACATCATACCATACACTAGCATCACGTAGCATCACATCGCAACGCGTATCACATCATACCATCACATGCCATAACATCGCATATCATATCATAGCATAGCGCATCATAGCATATCATCTAGCTGATTTTGTTCCGCCTTCGTTCCGCCTTTGCTCCAGAACGAATTCGAAACGACAACGGCCCACGGTGTCGCCAAAACGCTGTTGAGGTCGAGCCCTGGCTGCACATAAGGGTCGGGTCGGACGGACAGGGGGGATCGCAAAGGGGGGTTCAGCAAATCATCTCCCCGCAGCTGGTTTCCCTGGCGACTCCCAGCGTCGGAGACGCCAACCGTGCCAAGGAAAGCGCCCGGCGGCGGTGTGGACACCAGCGGCATGCAGCACCTGTCGTAACCTCCCCTGTCATCAGCCTCCCCCCGCGTTCAGGTCGGGCCAGTCCCTCTACAAGTATCGTTTGGTGTGTGTGTGTGAGTTTGCACATTACATATATATATATAACAAAAGACATAGTTTGTACTTTTCGTCCAAAATCCGCCTGTAGGGGGACACGCCCGACCGAACCCTACGTCCGACCCGAGAGGAAACTGGGAGGACTGGTCTGGAGCGGGTTCTGGCTCGTGGGGCCGACCCGTGGTGGACAGCGTGCCTCTCCTCAGCGACGTCTTGTACAGCGGGCAACTGTACCGGCCGCGCGCCTGCGTGGACGACGCCAACCGTGCACCCGAGGAGACGAGCGCAGAATCTTGGACGCCCGAAATGGATACGGACAAATGGGTACAATGCCCAACCACACATGCTGTCCCAAACCAATAGCGGCTGCTGTTGGGCAGGCGGCCTTCTGTCTCAAGTGGACACGGGCCGCGGCGGCGCGGGCAGCGGGTCCTGTGCAGAATGCACGGAAACTGCTGCTGGGCACTGTACCCATTCCTTTCGTCCCCATTCCTGGGCATCGCTCGGACGTCCATTCCCTGTGCTTTTTTCGGTTTCGCGCGTGGATTTTTTTCTCCAAATCATCCAGGATGCTCCTCGATGGTCCTCGCCGACGGAAACATGCACACGTCCGAGCGATGCCAAGTATTCGCCGGTGCAGAAGACTGCGCCTGAGCTCGGACGAGGAGATAAACGTCGGGAATACCTCCGGAGAGCCAGCGGGTCCGGCCGACGCGTCGGGCGCCGCGGCCGCGCTCCGAGAGCGCGCCCCCGCAGCGCCCCATGGGGGCGTTCCCGAGCGCCCCCTGGGGGGGGCGAGCCGCCCTCGGCCTGGGCCTGCCTGGCCAGGCCAGCCTGAGGCACGCTGCCCTCGCGTGCCAGCGCCCGCGCGGAGGTGTGCATCTCAGACTGGCGGGCCGTCCTCAGCCTTGGGCCTGCCTGGCCAGACCAGCCTGAGGCACACGGCCCTCGCGTGCCGGCGCCCGCGCGGGGGGCGTTCAGCTCAGACTGGCTGGGTGCAGTCGGGGCGTTGACCTGAGGAACCCTAATGAAGGAACGAGGCCCCTTTTTCCCATAAGTGAAACTTTGACTTCCCATGGAAACCCCACGCGAACTGTAAAACAATCAAGGAACACCGAGCCCCTCGCCAACGAGAAGGGTTCCTTCTTCAGCGCCCCGACTGTACACTCGGGCCCAGGCCAGAAGAACATCCATCACGAACATGAAGCCCTCCGCTGGCCGAAGCACCCCAGGCGCTAAGATCATTGGAGGGTAGCCTCCCCCAGGATGCGCAAAAGCGTGCAACGATCACGAAGAACACTGGGGTGCCCTCCCCGAACCGACCGCGACCTTATGCCTTGGTCCAACTGCACCGTCTGCACGCAGGGTTTGGCCCCATGCAAGAGCGGCCTCCGGTGCTGGGGCTCGAGAAGGGGGCGCAGAGGGGCCACACGCAAGTGGGCAGGCCGCTGCATTCGCACCGGGACCGCAGCGATCGGGGGACCCCCGTGGGCCCGAACCAAAGGTCAGTCTGGCGAAGGGGCACTCTGACGTGCAGTCGACGGTACATCGGCGGCGACGACGAGGGCGAATAGCCCAAGGGAGGGCACTGCATGCCTTCGCCCGGGCGCCTCGCCGAAGACATGGATCATCGGCGCCCCTGGATGCATGCATTGCTCCCCCCTGGGCCATTCCAGGGGAACACAAAGTGACATAAACATACAAAACTCGGAGGTCCGCGCGGATTTCTCGGACCGGCGCTGGACCCCCCTCCCTGGCGTCGCGGAGGCGCCTCCGGCGCCGCCCCTGGCGCGCTCCGCGCGCCAGGGAGGGGGGTCCAGCGCGGATCCGAGCAATCCGCGCGGACCTCCGAGTTTTCATGTCTGTGCCACTTGTTGCTCCCCTGCTGCCGTCGCCTCCGATCTCGAGCGCAGCCGATGGTGCAGGGCTGCCGCCGCCCAGCCTTCTGGAGCCCGGCGAACTCGTCGTGCATGACGACCTTCAGCCAGATGACCGGCAGCTCCGCGAAGAGGACGGCCTCTCGGGGATCTTGCAGGGGCCCTGGGACACACAAACAAATACACAAATCACATGATCCCCCATCTTTTCCCGTGTTTTCTGGGCTTTTGTCTTCCCCCCCACCCACTCCCCATATTTTCCCATATTTTCTGGGGAATCGTCGACTAATTGTGTCTGTGTGTTTTTTTCTCCCTCCTGAGATCTGCAGGCCCGGGCCAATCCAGACCTGGGTCAGCCAGGCCTTGCAGGACCCTGCAAGCTCCTGCAGGATCCGGCAGGATTCTGAACCCAAGCCTGGGACAGTGCAGCCCTGGCCCTGCAGGATCCTGCTGGATCCGGGCTGACCCCCGTTTGCATGGATCCCGTCTCTTGAGACCCGAGCCCAGACATGCGACGTCCTGATTTCTTCCGTACGGGGTCCCTGGAAGTCCCGACCCTTTCCCCGGGACCGTTTTCTCATCCCGAGTCGTTTTCTGACGGTCCCGAGCCCGGCGAGGGCCCCCCGAGGCCGAACATGGCCAGAAACCTCCCGTCCTGATTTTTGTTTCACGACGCGACCATGTCTGGGAGCCTTCTCCGACTCGCACATGCCGGACTCCGCCTCGCTCCAGCCGGCCCCCTGCAGGAAGAGCCCGTGGACGTTCACGCCGCTCTCGGGCGGCGGGGCGGCGGGGGCGGCACCGCTGCCGCCCGCCGGCCTCCCCCGCAGCGCCGTGGGCTCGGAGAAGAACGCGAGCTGGTCGATGGGGATCTTTGTCTTGCGGGCGTGCACCTGCTTGGAGCAGGTCATGAAGCCCTGGGGGGCGAGGAGAGCTCGCTGGGGCGTGGGCCGGACTCTCGCCCCAGCCCCCCGGAGGGGCCGAGAGGCAGGCTGCGCCGAGGGAGGGCCCGGCCGGAGGGCCGCGGGGGCATCGAGCGAGGGAGGGCCCCCGGCGGCGCCGAGGTCCTGGGGGAAGAAGAAGCAGGGCAGCCAGAAGCTGGGCGGCGGCCCCTGCACGAGCCAGTCGTGCATGAAGGCGACCCGCGCCTCGAAGTCGGCAAACCAGGAGTTGAGGGGCTTCAGGCACGGGTACGAGATCGGCTCCCCCCAGAGGGGCGGCAGCTTCTGCACCAGGAAGCAGCCGTACATCTCCTCGAGCTCCGCGGACATCACCACAAGGCCCTTGATGGCTTTGCCAAGACTCACCAGGGTGCTCTTCACCCTGGCGATAAGGGCATTGAAGCGGTCCAGCTCCTGTGAAGGCTTCTCAAGTGGGGCCAGAGCAGGTGTGGACGGAGGATCGCGCCGCATCGCCGATGCATCAGCGCCGTCGGCGTGGACATGTGACGCACAGAGACATACTAATACTATATGTCCTCCTTGGAGGCGCGCGTCCGACCCCAAGATACAGTATACCCATCTTGCAAGTGTGCCGTTTCCCGAGCGGTGTGCGGCCAGAGCGCGCCCGCCACGACGCATATGCTACAAGACTGGTGCGCGAGTCGCCGCCAGGGGGCGACGCACACATAGTATTAGTATGTTTTTTCGTTCCCAACCATACTGTGGTGTTGGGTCCTCGTTTTGAAGAGACAACGCCGCGCGTCCCTCCTTCTCCTCCTGCCGCTGCCCCCCCTCCTCCTCCCCATCATCAGCATCACCGTCACCATCATCATCGTCATCATCATCATCGTCACCATCATCATCATCATCATCATCATCATCATCATCATCATCATCATCATCATCATCATCATCATCATCATCATCATCATCATCATCATTATCACCATCATCATCAGTTCGGCACGCCCCTCACACGGTTCGTGGCCCCATATGGAGCTCCACCGAAGGCTCCAGTGGCAGGGTCCGCATGCGTCACCGCCACCCAACGCAGCGCCTCGTGGCCCCATAGGGAGCTCCGCCGACGGCTCCAGTGGCAGGGCCCGTATGCGTCACCGCCACCGAGGACAGCGTTTCGTGGCCCGATAGGGAACCCCACCGAAGGCTCCAGTGGCATGGTCCGCATGCGTCACCGCCACCCAGGGCAGCGTTTCGTGGCCCCATAGGGAGTTCCACCGAAGACTCCAGTGGCAGGCTCCGCATGCGTCACCGCCACCCACGACAGCTTTTCGTGGCCCCATAGGGAGCTCCACCGAAGGCTCCCGTGGCAGGGTCCGCATGCGTCACCGCCACCCAGGGCAGCGTTTCGAAACCCATAGGGGGCTCCACCTAAGGGTCCAGTGGCAGGGTCCGCATGCGTCACCGCCACCCAGGACAATGTTTCGTGGCCCCAGAGGGAACTCCACCGAAGGCTCCAGTGACAGGCTCCGCATGCGTCACCGCCAACCAAAACAGTGTTTCGTGGCCCCATAGGGAGTTCCACCAAAGGCTCCAGTGGCAGGGTCCGCGTGCGCCACCGCCACCCAACGCAGCGCCTCGTGGCCCCATAGGGAGCTCCACATAAGAGTCCAGTGGCAGGCTCCGCATGCGTCACCGCCACCCGGGACAGCGTTTCGTGGCCCCATAGGGAGCTCCACCAAAGGCTCCAGTGGCAGGCTCCGCATGCGTCACCGCCACCCAGGACAGCGCGTCGTGGTTCCATAGGGAGCTCCACCCAAAACTCCAGTGACAGGGTCCGTATGCGTCACCGCCACCAATGGCAGCTTTTCGTGGCTCCATAGGGAGCTCCACCGAAGGCTCCAGTGGTAGGGTCCGCATGCGTCACCGCCACCCAGGACAGCGCTTCGTGGCCCCATAGGGAGCTCCACCGACGGCTCCAGTGGCAGGGCCCGTATGCGTCACGGACAGTGTTTCGTGGCCCCATATGGAATTCCACCGAAGGCTCCAGTGGCAGGGTCCGCGTGCGCCACCGCCAGCCAGGGCAGCTTTTCGTGGCCCCATAGGGAGCTCCACCGAAGGCTCCACTGGCAGGGTCCGCATGCGTAACCGCCACCTAGGACAGCGCGTCGTGGTTCCATAGGGAGCCCCACCGAAGGCTCCACTGGCAGGGTCCGCGGTCCGCGTGCGTCACCGCCAGCCACGACAGCGCTGCGTGGCCCTATAAGGACCTCTACCGAAGGCTCCAGTGGCAGGGTCCGCATGCGTCACCGCCACCCAAGGCAGCACTTCGTGGCCCCATAGGGAGCCCCACCGAAGGCTCCAGTGGCAGGGTCCGCATGCGTCACCGCCACCGATTTCGGCGCACCCCTCGCGCGCTTCGTGGCCTCAAAGGGAACTCCACCGAAAGCGGTACCCACAATGCGGCACTCGCAGCTGCATATGGTTGGGTCCTATGTCAGGCTAATCTTTGTTTTTTTTGTACCTCCGCATCGCGCGCGAGAGCCCCACCTCTATGAACAACCACGCAGGCGAGCACTCCATTGAACACCAGTGGCACCTGTGACCCTCCATCTCGGGCGGTAAATCGTGTTAGTATGTTGGGGTGGCGTCGATGGACAATATCGGCTTCCACGTCGAGCCGCATCGCCGACGCATCGGCGATGCGGCGCGATCCTCCGGCCCCGTCTGCATCTCGGCCCCTGCTTCGGGGGGCCGGGGGTCTCCTGCCCGTGGAAAACCCCCTGGGAGACGATGCCCCCGCTCGCCGTCTTGGCGTACGTCTCCGGGTGCGCGTCTCTCCGCTGCAGGAGCTCGGGCGCGCGCGCGAAGAAGCCGTCCGCCATCTCGGCGACCAGCTCCTCTGGGAAAGCCAGGAGGTATACAGATACCGTCGCTCCCAGGACCTCTCTCGGGTCGGGCGAAAGGGGGGGATAGCAAAGGAGGTTTGAGAATCAGCTCACGTAGCTGATTTTCCCGGCGCCTCCCGGCGCCGGGAGGCGCCCATGTATCGAGGAGTGGGCCCCTCGGTGAGGCCGAAACCAGCTGCATGCAGCAAATTTCGTAACCCCCCTTTTCCCAACCCCCCCCATTCGTCCGGCCCGACTCTCCCGGGGTGCGTTCTGCCCGGAATCTCGGGGCGAATCCCAGCGGTGGCGACGAGGGCCGCCCAGGCGGCCCAGCAAGGGGAAAGCGAGGGACTGGGCATCGCTCGGGCGTCCATTCCCTGTTTTTTGTCGGTTTCGTGCGTGTTTTTTTCGCCAAATCATCAAGGATGCTCCTCGATGGTCCTCGCCGAAGGAAAAATGCACACGTCCGAGCGATGCCAAGGCAAGGGGAAAACGAGGGAAGGGCGGCGGTGTGGGTACCCTTTCCTCCCGCAAGTCCTCGGGGCTCTTCCCCACGCCGCCCGAGGACGCCCTGGGCTGCACGCTGACGACCGTGTCCAGGAACCTTCGAGTCGGGGATCGACTACAGAATTGATTTCGGGAGCGGCCAAGAGGGGGGCGTCCAAGAGGGGGGGGTGCAAATCATGACCTGCGGCATGTGGGCGGCCCAGCGGGGGGGCCGGGGACGTAATGAATCAAGAAGAGGCGCCCTGAGATCTGGGAAGATATCATGGCCCCCGCCATGATATCCCCCCCCTAGTCATCACCCCCTTCTCTTCCGCCCCCGAAATTAATGTTCTAGTCGAATGTACGAAGAAGTACCAGCATGATGCGCGTATCTCCGTTAACTCGAACAGAGCATCAATTTCGGGGTACATCCATTTTGTAGTCGATCCCCTACTAGAAACCTCTTGGCCTCCTCCGACTGCGCGGTGATCTGCGCGTTGGAGTGCAGGCCGAACACCTGCGGGTCCTCGTCGAGCGGGAAGCTCGCCACGAACCTGCGCACCTCCTCGACGGACCCCTCCGGCGGGGCGGTGTAGGCGTCGAGCGGGCTGAGCTTGTAGCCGTCCTCCAGGAGGCCCTCGTTGAAGTAGCGGGTGAGGAAGGCGCTGATGAGCCGTACGTCCTTGTCGTCCGTCACGCGGCCGCCGTAGTTCACCTCCGCGATGATGTACGTCAGGGTGATCCACGGCACGCCCGGCTGCGACTCCAAGTACATCTGAACCTGCTCTCGCGAAACTTGGAAGTCGCTGTCCATCCACTCGTAGGGCACGTTCCATCCGATCGGGCCGAACTTTCGCCGCTCCAGGATGGCGGCGTGGAAGAAAGCAAGGCCGAAGAGGAGCTTCTTGAACTCCCGGGATTTCGAGCAGCCCTCGTACACCTCGGGAGTGATATCCTGAAACGTGCGGCTGAGGTTGGCCCGCAAACCCTTCGGTGGCTCATTGGTGATCTTGATGCCGTTCTGCAGCACAGGCACCGGAAAGGTCGGCGAGGGCATGGCTGTCAGCCACAGACGGTACATGTCATCGATGGCGTCCGCGTCTTGCTGCTCCTGGATGCGCTCGAGCGCCGGCATCCAACTGGCAGCCAGGTGGCAATTCTGCAGGCAGACCCAGTCGCCGCTCTCTCGGCCGTGCTTGATCAGGCTCTCGGCCTTCCCGCCCTGGCCCTGTCCCAGCGAGATGAAGTGCAGGCGCTCCTCGTACTCGAAGTCCCGGGCGAACTTCACGAGCGCGTCCGTGGGATCCGCGCCGGACGAGAGGACGAAGATCAGGGGCGTCGTCTTCTGCGAGTCCCGGAAGCAGCTCAGGAGGTCGAACGCCGGCGACACGGTGTAGAGGCTGCCCAGCTCCTGCCCCACGAACCTGCGCACGCACAGCTGCAGCGAGTTCTCGCGCAGCGACTTGACCAGGAGCAGGCGCTGGAAGGGCGTCAGCTGGCCCTCCCAGCCCTCCGGCAGAGCATCCTCGCGCGGGGGCTGGACCCATAAGCGTTGTTTTTTTCGTGCTGTGCTCGTTTTTTGTGCCTCGTGCTGCTCTCCCCCGATTTTTCCTGTGCCCCTCTTGCCAAAGCGAGAAACAGGCCACAGCCCGAAGTCCAGCAAAAACAGCGTTTCGGTCCAGCCCCGTCCTCGTGCATCGCGTCGCAACTCCCCGTTTCCCTGTACCCCCATGCCAAAACGAGAAACAGGCCACAGCCCGAAGTCCAGCACAACAGCGTTTAGGCCCAGCCCCGTCCTCGTGCATCGCGTCGCACTTCGTGACGAACTGCTGCCACGCCGTGGATGCGGCCACCTCGCTCGTGAGCCCCTTGAACGCCTCGCTGCCCCCCGCGACGGTCAGCTCCTCGAGGACACACAGCTTCCTCCACGCCTTCTTGTCCATCCACGTGGGACATGGCGGATCCTGCTCTATCGCTCGCACAATGCCCTGGCCAGCCTCCGCGCCGCGTAAAAAGAAAGCCCATTCGTCCTGCGACACGGGCCGCTTCTTCAGGAACCCTGCGTGCACCTGGTGCCGCAAGATGCGAGCAGTCACGAGAAAGCTGAACAGGAGCTTGTGATCCTCGAACAAGCCCATGCATATTTTAACATACGCGAATTCTGTGAAATCATCCAACAATATGCGAATGCGAGTGTCGATGTTGTCGCTCTTCTCGCTTGACTGCAACTTCTGCTGGAAGAGGCCTCCAAAGAATTGCAGGCTGTACTGATACATCGGATCGATGCTCGCCAAGTCAGCAACCACGAAATATATGATCGACGCACGCGCGGCCACTGGCCTCAGCTTCTCCGTCACACCGTTGATTTCTTTCATGCTGACCTCGGCCGACTCCATGCGCTGCTCGCAGCTGGCCCCAGTGACTTTGGACTTTTCAAGAGTCTGTATGAGGCTGTCGTCGGCGAGTAGCTTGTCGTCCTTGGTCTCCGCGAGCAATTTCAGCGTCAGCTGCTCGAGATTGTCCATCTCAGCCTTGTCCGCAGCGATCTGCACCACAAGGCTCGCCCGGAGCTCGGACAGGTCTGGCCGCTCGTTCGCCACCACGTCCGCCACCAGCTGGTCCTCCAGGCCCGCCAGCGTCACAGTGAAATTGATGACGGTGACCTTATCGGGCGTGGGCAGAATCGGGTTTGATGGGTCCTGGTTTAGTGATGTGTACTGGGAGACGCCCCCCCAGCCCCGTTCCATTAACTGGACCTGCCGTGACCCGAGAAAACACCAGCTACGGTAGACCTTGTTTAGTGATTCTGGCCAATTTCGGGGCTTTGGGGCCCTACCACTAACGGGGTCCCCTTACCCAGGGTCCTGGCTATACCGGACCTTAATGCAGATCTCTGGAAGGTAATGCGGGTTGCCCATCTTAGTGGTGATGAAGAACTGGAAGTCCGAGCTGTACGGCACGTCCTCGCTGCCGAGCCTGAGCAGCCACTGTCCCCCCTTTTTGAACACCTGCTTCAGGAGCACGGGCTCCAGCGCAGGGTCGAGCACCTCCTCCACGTTCTCGAGCAGGATGGGCCAGCCCTCGCGGATGCCCAACTCCAAGGTGCGCAAGAAATTCGGGGTGGACAGCTTGATCACGCCGAGGTTGAGGTCCTTCTTCATGCTCTTGATCCACCTGTTGCCCTGTCCCTGGGGATCGATCATGAGCGGCCACCGGCGACCCCGCGTCACGAGCACGCCGTTCTGCACAGACAGCTCGTCAGATGGCAGCGAGGCGATGTTCCACTGGCGCACCTCTGCTTGGTCTAGCAGCACTTTCGCGATCTCCCAGTGGGGGTCTGTGTCGAGCTGGATCTCCTGGGCCCGGTGCAGCCACTGCTGCGTGAGCTCGTGGCGGTACTCGGCCGTAAACGGCCCGGCGTAAGCAATGAAGCCCGCCGCCAAAGTGATATTGCCCACAATCGACTTGAGACTCTGCTCCAGCTCCTTGCTGTTGACCGCCCAGCGCACGGACTCGGTGCCCAGGCCAGCCAGCAGCTTCTCCGCGCGCGTCAGCTTCACCTTGCAGTCCTCGGCCTGGGCTTCCAGCTGCTCTGCCTTGCTCTTGGCGAGCTTCAGCTGCTGCTGCAAGGCAGCCACCTTGTCCTGCACCAGCTGGAGCTCTTTCTTCTTCACCGACAGCTTCTTCTCGGCCTCCGCGAGGGTGTCCTCCGCACTCTTCAGCTTCGCCTTCTTCGGCTCGATGGAGCGCGCGACGCGTGCGTAGGTGTCCATAGCACGCACCCACATGCAGAGCGAATATGCAGCAGTGGACACCCTCTGGACGACTTCGGGGACGAATTGTTCGTTCTTCACATATTTTTGCATCTTCCCGGTCAATTTGGTGTTTCCAGACAAGGCGTCTTTGTCGTACTCGCGGAGCTGCTGCAAAAACGAGCTCTCATTCATCAACTTCTTCGCCTCGTCCCACGACTCCTTCCTGCCCATCAACAGGCACACGGCGCTGAGGACGAGGACCACCACGTCTGGGGGAGTCTTGAAGGACTTCACCTCGTTGATGTCTTTCTTGTCCAGCGTGTCCAAAGACTTCAGTGCCGCATAGTACTCCGGAAGAGCTTCGTCAAGTTCTTTCTGACAATCGGCCTTGATTTCGTTGGCGGCAGCCGCTGCGTCTCCGGCTTCCTTCTCGTCGACCTTGCAGGAGGCCTCCTTCTCCTTGGCCTGCGCCTCCTCCTTGTCGACCTGGATGATGAGCTCGGCGGTGTCTTTCTTCCCCTGCTCGATCTCCGGGGCGAGCTTCGTGAGGTCCACCTGAAGCTGGTCAACGATCTTCTTCGCGTACTCCAGTTTTGCGGCTCCGACCTTGTAGCGATTAAGTTTGGTGTTTAGCTCCCCCATCTTCAGGCCCAGCAGTTCTGTGAAAATCTTAATCAGCTCCAAGTAGGACGTTGGAGTCATGTAAGTTTTCCTGCGCAACTTCTCGGAGAATGAGGCGGCTGCCTCCGAAGAACTCGCGTGGATCGTGCAGGAGATCTGCGACAACTGCCCCAACATTTTCTCGATGCCCAGCTCTTTCGGCGCCTCTCGATAGTACCGGTCCGCCACGGACACGAGGGCATCCTCTGGCCATGGGTCGTACCAGTCGATCGTAGCACAATTAATGAGACTGGGGAACTGCCTGCAGCGTGCACGGAATCCCTCGCCGACTGGGGAGAAGGCGAGCACGATGTGGAAGCTCTCGCGGATGATCTGAACGAAGTGCTGCCAAATCTCATCGCGCGCATCTACTTTTCCAGCCGCTTTGGCCAGCGGACGGGTGAGGCCGATCACCTGCTCAACCTCGTCTGGCAGGAAGAGGTTGGGCACCTCGCCAGTGTTGAGGACGTTGTTGATGTCCTCGAGGAACGACTCCTTGACAATCTGGGTGTCCGAGAAGAGGAACATCATGCCCTTGCCGCTGTTCTTGACGATCGCCATCATCATCCCCTTGATATCGTCCCGGAACTCGTTGGTGCCGTAGTTGCGGGTGATCTCGATCGAGCTGCAGGCGTACTCGGCCATGTGCGCGGCCATGCGGGCGATGCTTTTCCTGCCCACGCCGCTCACTCCCACCAGCAGCGCGTTGCCGCGCGGCTGCCGAACCACGCGCGCAGCCCGGGCCAGGTGGGCCTGGGCGTCCTTGAAGAAGACGAGGTTCATCTTGCTGGGGTTGACGGAGTTGTACTCCTCCAGGTAGTCGCCGAACGTGTGCAGCACCTGCTTGTCCGACTCCGCCTCGATGTAGATCTTCTGGCCGCGGTCGAAGAAGTCGCCGTAGACGAGGTCCGTGAACTCGCTCGCCTGCCACCTCTCGCCAAGGTGGGCCTCCATGTGCTCCATCAGCTGGTCGTCGAACCAGCCTCGGTCTTCGTGGCTCACGAGGCGATCGCGGAACGAGCGGCACGTCTCGTGCAGCCAGAGCTTGACGAGGCCCTTCTTGTCCCTGAGGCTGTTCTCGACGAAGACCATCAGCATTCCCTGTATCATCTTGGCGGGGTCGCGCAAGTTGAAGGTGTAGTGGCACTTCAGCGGCGTAGGCAGCAGGTCCGATACGATGGCGTAGAACATGTCCACGGTCGCCCCGACGATCGGACTGGCAAATTGCTTAACGCTGGGGCAGTTCACGTTAAGCCAGCCAGTCAGGATTGAGCTGAGGATTCTGTTCATTGTATCCTTCGGCAAGGCCGTCATCCAGATCATGTTGAAGTGCCGGAAGAACCTGGGCGTGACCACCATGCGACCGCCACCTGGAGGTCCACAGGCAGCAATGAGCTGCGTGTCCGCCACAGCCTTCCAAAATAGTTTCTTGCGATCGTAGAAGCCGCGGTAGTCCACCACCTGGCGGAGTAGCTCAATGGGAGGTTGCGCGCCGTATTTTTCCAGCATCGGCATGTTCACGTCGTCGACGAATAGGAGCATCTTCGTTCCTGGAGGCGCACCAAGCAGGTTCTTGCGCTTGCGCTCCAATCGGTTCTCCAGGAAGTCTACGATGTTCGCAGAGGACGTCTGTGCCGAGAAGTTGGCGCTCGCTACGGCGAACGACTCGCCAGCACTGTTCAGGAACTGCTGGATGCCGACGGACTTGCCCACGCCCGTCTCGCCAGTGAACAAGGTGTTGAAGCCCCCGTGCATCAGGCTCTCCAAGAGCAACCGCTGCAACGTGGTTTCGACGGTCGGCACCAATATGTTGAAGAACGGTACACCCGCGACGAACTCGAACGCGGGCACCGCCTCGGTGATTGGCACGAAGGCACTTCTGTCGTGGTCCACGCAGACGCTGTACAGGTCGGCGCTCTGCGGAGTCTCTGGGCAAAACTTCTCCACCTTTGAGCAGGGACCGACCGTCCCGGCATTCCTATAGGCCTTCAACGAAATTTCTTAGAACCCCAACATGTTCTAATTATAACAATCAAGGCTCTTATAACGTCAACCCGATGTGTTAAAACAAGACGGTCTCGGCAAGACATGTTCTAAGAGCATTTATTTCGTGCAGACCACAGAAGGTTCTTAGAACATTTTTTGGTGGACCTAAAGGCGAGCCAGGACGCTTCGCCACTGCTTGACACCTTGCCGCGCAGGAAGTCCTGGAACTTCTGGCGTGAGCTCTCGTGCAGGTTACCCCCCAGCGACCAGACCGCGCAGAAGACACAGTACATGCGGCTCAACGCCACCAGCTGCTTGTCCTTCTGCGCGCCAGCACCCTCGGCTGCGCCCTCTGGCGGGAAGCCGTACCGCGAGCTGACGAAGCACTCCAGCATCCTCAGGAACGATGTGACGAGGTTGGAATCCGTCGACGGGATTCCTGGCGCCTCCTTGCACTCCTCGCGGATGAATGGCAGCGCAGCCTCACAGATGTCGAGGCACCACTTGCGCAGAGTGTCTGCGTAGAGGGGCTGCCTGGCCTTGAACCTCTCGCCCCAACTAGTAATCAGCGGCTTCCAACCAAGGTGCACCGGCTCCAAGAAGACCATGCCACAGCGGCTCACTGTGGCGGGGGAGGCCACTTTGAGGTCCCCGACCTCAAACAGCATCGTCATAGTGGGTGGAAGCTTAATGCGCTCACCGTTGGCGAGGCAGAGCATCTTGTTATCGTCTAGCACCGTATTCATGTTCTCGATCCAGATGGCGTCCACGGGACCGTCGAAGACGACCCACTTCTTGTTCTCGGTCGTGTCACTGACGGCCTCTCGAACCAGGATGGCCACAAGGCCGTCTGTCCATTCGCCTGTGTTCATGTTGAACGACCCGTAGAGTTCCTCCATGGTGATGCTTTTCGGGTTCAGCGAGAAAAGCTTTGTAAGCTGGTGGGCAGGGTCACTCGACCCGTCCTTCCGAAGCTGGGTCAGGGCCTTGGAGAGAGTGGTGATGTTCGCAGACTTGCCGATCTGCGAGTCGCCGACGACCATAACGCCGTGCCTCACCAGCTGCGTTTCGAGCAGCTGGATGATCTTCCCGACAAAAGCGGGCACCACCTGGAGGTGGGCCAGGCGCAGCTGGTTCTCGATCTCGGTCTGCAGGTCTCCGTAGTCCACGTAGGGCACCTCCGCCTCGGGGTACAGATCGGTGATGATGCCGAAGAACAGCGGCAGATCGAACGACAAGAACTTCGGGACATTCGAGTCGCGCAATGCGCGGATGAGGGTCACATCCTCAGGCAGATCCGGGTACTTCCGCTTGAGCTGTCCGGCCATGACCAGCACCGACTTCACCGCACGCATGCCGAAGTCGTAGTGGTCCTGCTTGGACAGCTGCTCGCTGGACAGCGTGTAGAGGTTCACCATCTTCCGCGCGAGCTGCGTGGCGTTCCCAAAGCTCTCCTCGGCTACACGCAAGATGACTACCTACCAGACCACCCCAACCCAACCCGAAGATCCGAATTTGACCAGAATTTCGGGTTGGGGGGGTACGGGTTCCATGTGTTTTTTCAATGTTCCCCGACCCCCCCCCCAACTGGAAATGGAGGGAAAATTGCGGTCTTCGGGTTGGGTTGGGGTCGTTTGGTGGGTGGTGACAAGAGTGACCCTGGGTAAGAGTGACCTCTGGTGCGCGGCTTCTTGGGGGGCCGCGGGGGTGGGGGTGGGGCAGACACAGGCGCGCAAGGCGCTGCTATCGCTTCGCGCTCGGCGGTCGGGACCCCGGCGGGCCAGCACCGAAGGTCGCTCCGGCGAAAGGCCACTCTGACGTCCAGTCGATCTCTCCTGAGCAGGGACCGACCGTCCCGGCATTCCTATAGCCCTACCACGAAATTTTCTTAGAACCCAAACACGCTCTAAGAACAAAAACAATGTTCTTAGAACATAAACCCGATGTGTTAAAACAAGACAATCTCAGCTAGACATGTTGTAATAACATTTCGTGCAGACCACAAAAGGTTCTTAGAACATTTTTTGGTGGGACTATAAGCGAGCCGGGACGCTTCGCCACTGCTTGGCTCTCCGAGTACAGCAGGATTTCGGCAATCAGCTCGTAGTTCGGCACCATCATCGCCACCGGGCGGAAGAGGGACTTGAGGTTGTCGGGCAGCTCCGCTCGTCCAGCGTAGCCCGGGTTCATGGTGATGAAGACCCCGAACCTGGGGTTCAAGGGGATCTCCCGGCCGACGAACTCGAACTGCTCCTTGCGCGCGCGGATGGCATGGGTGACCGTCAGCATCTGCTGCGCGATGACGCTGAGCACCTCCACCTGAATGCGGTTGAACTCGTCGAAGCAGGCCCAGGCGCCCGCCTGCGCCAGCCCAGAGAAGAAGCGCCCCATGATCTTGTAGTCCAGGCCGTCGGAGCAGTTGAAGACGACGACGGGCACCGCCAGAGCCTTGCCCAGATCTTTCGTCGTCTCCGTCTTCCCGGTGCCCGCGGGCCCGGCCGGTGCGCCCCCGTAGTTCAGGTGCATCGCCCCGGTGAGCGTCATGTAGCACTTGTCCGTCAGGGGCGTCACGACCAGGCGAGGAGTGTTGCCCAGGTACTCGAAAGAGTACCGCATGGCAGCGATGGTCTGCTTGACGACGCAGTCGTCGGTGGTGCTCCTGCCATCCGAGAGCCGCGTGTCTTCGAGGACCCAGTAGTACCGGAGCTGCTTGCTCCAGTCGAAGTCGTTGGTGGACCTGCACTTGGCCTCCTGCAGGTTCTCCAGGACCGAGATGCCGTGGACATCTAGGACGATCAAGGCACCCATCATCACGCGCTGGAGCTTCGTGAGGTCGAGCCTCACTATCTTCACGCTGTCCTCGAGCTGCCGCCGTGTGAAGGCGATGTTGCCCCGCATCGCGTGCTCGTCGCCGCCCTCGACGAGATTCAGCGCGTCCTCCGCGCACTTGGTCCACATGATCTGGTCCACGGCCAGGACGGTCTGCGAGGGGAAGTCGCCGAACAGCCACTCCTTGCGGGCAGCTCCGTCCTCAGGATACGCCTGCCAGGACGCCCTCGTCACCGCGCGCAGCGTCTCGACCATGTTGGTCTCGATGTCTCCCAGCCACTTCTCCACCGGCAGGCCCGCGGTCTGCACGGGGGCCACAAAGGGGACGCGCTCCTTGAGCATATCGCTCATGTCGACGATGTTGACCTTGCCGCCCTTCTTGTCCGCCTCAAAGGTCACGCGGCTGATAGCGTCGAAGCACTTGCCGAGGTGCTCTTGCACTGCCTCCGGATTGCGCGTCTGAGACAGGATGCTCAGCAGTTCGTCGTCGGACAGGAAATCCCCCACCGTGCCGCTGGGCACGGAGTGGGCGTGTCCTCAGGTGCTTTGCCTCATCCTCTACACGTCGTTCATTTCTAATCCTGCTCATTTCTAATTGTGCTCGCCTCTGATTGTTCCTGGCTCCCTAGTGGCCAGGAAGAAGCCTAGGACAGAAGAACTAGGCAGGAAAGGATCTTGGCCCCCCAAAGGATCAAAGAACTCTCGAGGAGTTAGAAGTGAACAGCGCGTGCTCCTCTCGGCCTCCATCCTCGCGCCCGAGTGCTCTCAAAGGGGCTCGGAGCCCACGTTGCCCAACCCCCCCGGGCCCGCCGCGTGCCCCGCCAGGGGCCGTGGCGCGGGCTGCCCGCGGGACGTTTTTTGTCGGAGCCGGGGCGGCTCCCAGAAGGACTCCTCCTCCTCCTCCTCCTCCTCCTCCTCCTCCTCCTCCTCCTCCTCCTCCTCTTCCTCTCCCCATACCTTCTCTTCCTCCCCCGTCCGTCCTCCCCGCCCTCCTCCCCGCCCCTGCCCCTGCCTGGCCCTCCTTCGCCTCCGCCCCGCCCCCCCCCCTTCCGCCCGCCTCTCCCTCCCCCCCCACGCGGGCCGCGAGAGGCCTTCCAGACGGTCCGGGAGGGCCCCACGTCGCCGCAAGATGGCGTCGAGGCGCCCAAGACGGCTTCAAGACGGTCCAGGAGGCCCCCGAGGGGGCCCAAGGGGGCCCGAAGGGGCCTCCCAAGAGGGCCCCGAGAGGCCAAGATGATTGATGTTCCTTCTGTTTTTGAAGGCTTTTGACCTTCTCGCCTTTTCGGCTTCGCGACGCTCCAAGACGGCCCGAGAAATGTCCAAGACCTCACCAATACGGGCCCCCAAGACGGCTCAAGAGGGCCCCAAGTCGGCCCATGAGGCGACCAAGACGGCGTAAGAGTGCCCCAAGGCAGCCCCACGAGAGGTCCAAGAGGGGGACCACGACCAGAAAATCCTAGCCTTCCGCCTCAAGAAGGCCCCAGGAGGCCCCGAAGAGGCTCCAAGAGGCGCTCCAGAGGCCCCTAAGAGGCCCCCACGAGGCCCCAAGAGGCTCCCAAGAGGCCCAAAAGAGGCCCCTAAGAGACCCCAAGAGGGCGTTCAAGAGGCACCCGAGAGAGCTCCGAAGAGACCCCAAGAAGGATTCCTGAGAACTCTGACCTGCAAACTGCGGTGGCGGGATGGACCGAAGGCCATTCGATAGAATCGCGGGAAGGCAGCTCGTTTCGTCTCCAAGTACGCTTCCAGGCTCTTCTGGATCTGTTCCAACGTATCGTTCGCGTTCCTCAGGTCCCGCAACAGATTCGAGATCTTGAAGGCGTCCATCGCCGTCCGGCACGACTGCCGCACCTTCTTCAGGACGTCTCTCCAGAATTTGTCCACGCCCTTGAACTTGGTGGACTCCTGGGGAAGTTGCCGTTGGATGTCCTCGGCAGAGAAGATGCTCTCCAAGTACATCCACGACCGCTGCACCTGGAGCCACTCGTCGATGATGTCGGACGCGAGCCGGATCTCCTCACCCCACCTCTCCACGCTCTCGCGAATGTCGGTAACGTAGCGGGACCCCATCATCGTCTGAATCTGCACCGTGTGGTCTTCCAGCTGGGTGATGATGTCGCCGACGTCTGCGAGGATCCAGAGCTGGCGGTTGTTGCGGTGGTTCATCACAGGCAGCGGCAGGTCCTCCCAGGACTTCTCGATCTTTTCCAGCTGCTGCTCCAGGGCGAGCTCGCCGCTCGCGGTGCCGCTGATCTCGGCGATCGCCTCCTTGTGCTGGAAGACTTTGGACTTCATGAGTGAGAACAGGGTGAAGGACTGGGCCTGCATATTGATGGCTTGCTTAATCTTCAGCCTGTGTCGCTCCTGGATGGCTGGGTTGCCCAGGTCCATGATGCAGGGCATATCTACCTTCCACTCGTCAATCATCTTCTTGACCGCCGTGGCCACCTCGTCGTTGGGAAGGGAACGGGTCAGCTGGAAGGCCGTCTTGGCGTACTCGGTGACCTGCTTGTTCATTTGATCGACGTTCAACTTGGCGATCTCATTTTTGGTCCAATTGTTCTTGGTCTCCGTCCACTCGTGAACCAAGTTCCAAAGCTTCAACTTGTCGGCCAACAACTTCTTTGTGCTCTCAACCTCTGGGAACTCGACCGTGCCGGGCTGGCCGAAGAGCTTCTGATACTCGCTGAAGGTGTTGGCCTTCTCTTCGAGGGCCAAGAGGACCTGCTCCAACTTCCCAAGCTCCTCCAGCACGCTATCAGAGGCGGAGATGGCCTCCTCGGAGATGAACTGCCCCTTCTTCAGCTGGAACCCGAGCTCACGCGACTCGTCCTCGATATTCATGGACACCTTGAACAGCGTGTCGACCATGCCCTCGCGCTTATCCTTAATGAAGGCCACAGACTCCATCATCTTCTTCTCGTTGAACTCCCTCGCCTTGTAGTGCAGAGTCTCCAGGGCCGTCTGGTCGTCACCAGAGACGCGCATGTTGTACTGCTTCAGCTGCTGATACATGGAGTCCACCTCGTCCTTGGTGTCCTCCATATCAGTCATCTGCTCGCGGATCTCGTTGCACTGCCTCACGTACTCGGCGAAGGCATTCAACTTGGTGGGCCGTTCGTCCAGCTCCTTGTTGGCCTTGCCGTACTTCGCCTCCGCCTCCCGACACTTCTTCGCGGCTATGTCGATGAGCGCCTTCTTCATCGTGGACAGGCCGCGCTCGGGAACGGGCACGAGGCTGCTCTTGAGCTGCTTGTTGTCCAGGAGGATGCTGCCGACGGGCGCGTTTGGCCTGATGACGTCGACCAGCTCCTGGAACTCCTTCATCAGCGACATGTCCAGGATGAGCTCCTCCTGCTGGCGGCCTCTCGAAACGTACTCGTCCTCGTTCCAGGTCCGCCCGTAGTCGTGGATCTTCCTGTACTGCCTGAACTGGTCATTGGCCAGCCTCTGCGCCGCTTTGATGTCACTGAAGACACGGTCCCGGATTTCAGACTGGAAGTAATTAAAATGGCGATTGCTCATCAGGATGCTCTCAACAGTCTGCTGGTTGCGCGTGGTCACATGCGTGTCGAGGGCCCGCACGCGGAACGATGGCACGTTGTTGACAACATGGACGGTCCCTCGCCAGACTGCTGTCAGCATCTCTTCGAACTGCTGACGGCTGGGCTCAAGGACCATGTCCTTCTCGCCGAAGGAGACGGATATGGAGAACATTTTGTTCTTGTTGGAGCCCTCCCTCGAGGTCTCAAGGCGGCGGAAGAACTCCTGAGACGCGTTGATCACCACCTGAACGAGGCTAGCCTGGAACATGTAGTCAACGAGGCGGACGCAATCTCCTAGCATCCCCTGATCGTGCTCTGCAACGTGCTGCCTGTGCTTGTTGTCCCGGGCCTCCTTTTTCTCGGCCATCATAGACTTCAAGCGCGGCCGCAACTTGGCCTTCTCGTCGACCTGGTCGGAGTCTTCAGTGACCTGCCTCACGGAATTGACGAGCCGGTTGATGACGTCCGTGACGCTGTCATGCAGCTTCTGAAACTCGACGCTCGCGCCGGAACTGGTGTTGGACCAAGCCTGCTGCTGCTCCTTCTGGAACTCGTCTATCTCGTAGACCTTCGGCTGGATGCCCATTACCTTTACAGGGTAAATCAACGTCAAACCGATAAATCGGGCAGGATCGAACCGTGAATCGAATCGGACCGCATCGGCACGGAGTCAGAACCGAATCGAATCGGCGGCGCCAACACTCACAGCAAGGCCATGTAAACGTCGGTCCGCACCGGATCGTCGGAGTATCGGAATCGCACCAGATCTGGCTGGCCCGATTCGATGAATCGGATCAATCGGATTAAACTGGCCGTGCCTTGACCAGCTCCATGTCGCTCTTCGCGGCGTGGAGGCGCATGAGCGGGCCAACGAAGAGGGGCTTGGCCAGGAAGAGGCGGCGGCTCAGCTGCCCACGCTCCTTGACGTAGACCGCGTGGCGCGCGTTCGCGCGCCACTGCTCCATGACCTTCCTGTGGAGGTAGAGCTTGAAAAAGTTCATCGAAGTCAGCACGCTGTACATGAGGCAATGCCGCATCCAGTCGCCCAACGACATGTACTCGCTCTGCCGGCCAGGGCACACGTACACGACGCCGGTGTTGGAGATGGTGAAGTGCTCTCCAAGCTTGCTGGGAGGTGCGTTGCTGCTTTCCATCATGTCATGCATGACATCCAAGTCGTACGGCCTGAATTCCAGGCTCGAATCCGTCTGCCTACGGCAACAGTATACGAACTTGATCGTGGTGTTCGTCCCGTTCTTGGCGAAATAAGCAATTACATCCTCGCCCGTCTTCATCTTCTCCAGCTCCCGCCTCCTCGCGGTGTCCTCGTCGAGATCTTCTGGCTCCTCGGCGTCGGCGGTCCCGAGAAGTGGGACCTTGTCATCGGCCTCGAACCCCCAGGCCGCACTTGTCTCGGGCTGGTTGAACGTCTCCTGTTGGATGCGGCTGGGGGGCTAGGGGGGAAGAAAAGGGGGAGGGAAGGGGGAGGAGGAGGAGGAGGAGGAGGAGGAGGAGGAGGAGGAGGAGGAGGAGGAGGAGGAGGAGGAGGAAGAAGGAGGAGGAGGAGGAGGAGGAGGAGGAGGAGGAGGAGGAGGAGGAGGAGGAGGAGGAGGAGGAGGAGCAGGTGGAGGAGGAGGAGGAGGAGGAGGAGGAGGAGGAGGAGAAGGGCAGGAGGAGGAGAAGGAGGAGGAGGAGGATGAGGAGGATGAGGTGGAGGAGGATGAGCAGGAGCAGGTCAGGAGGAGAAGGAGGAAGAGCAGGAGGAGGAGGAGGAGGAGGAGGAGGAGGAGGAGGAGGAGGAGGAGGAAGAAGAGGCTGGAGGCGGCTGGGGGGTCTGCGCTGGATAGGCCGGGAGAACGTTGGGCGCGAGGGGGGGAAGAGGCTGAACCCGCTGACAAAAACCGGTTCCTGGACCCCTCCTGGGGTCCCAACGAGCACCAGTTCTCCAGGCTGCGCCTGGGCGTGGCGACGAGAAGCCCCCGGGAGGCCCCGAGAGGACGAGCACGGCCCCCTTCTTCCCCCCCTGTTTGCCGCTGGCCGGAGCCAATGCCTCACTGCACCGACCTTGCAGACGTGCTGCGCCGGATTCTTGGCGTGGATTCTGGTCCGTGCGAAGCCCTGAAGCGGCGAGCGATACGCGAAGCGAACTTCACGTGGAGGTCTTAGCCACAAACCGAGTCCGAGCGAGATGCACTTCGAGATCTGGAACGGACTTCTCCAGGACACTCCGCGCACATCCGATGGTTTTCCGAGCGAAGTCCGCTCTGCGATGTTGGCGCCATGGGATGCTGGGCCACCTCCGTCCCCCAGCCGGCTCCAAGTGGAAGGGCAGGGGACAGGCAGACGAGACAGACCAGACCGCCGCGGCGGACAGGTGACCGGGCCTACCTCAGGCCAGATGGGTGCGGCCGTGGCCTCGAGCACCAGTGAAACAAGTGAGTGGCGACAAACTTGCAGGCGAAGTCAGGCCGGGTACTCTGGCAGCTCTCATGGGCAAGGTTTCTAAGCGGGCTGGCGGGGTGTGTAGTCGGCCCGTGTCAGAAGGATGCGCGATCAGGATGCAAGGGCCTTGGACGCCCATTCCGATGCTCTTCGAGCGGGGCGCGGCCGACGAGAGTGGCCAAGGATGGACCGAGGAGGCAAATATGCAAAGGAACCTTTGGGAAGGGTGCCCATCGTTACCATGCGGCTTGACCGTATACGCGAAGCGTGAACACGTAGTTGTCAGAAGCTCTCGGGCCTTCTTCGGGGAGGGCCTGGAGCACTTCTCCGAAGGCTTAGGTCCGGCATGCCCTCCTGCAGGCGGATTTTGAGCGGAAAATCAAACATAGTTGAAGCATACTCAGAACTAGCGCAGAATGGTCAAACCATAGTGCCCGATGTTTTTGCTGTTTTGGAGCATTCCTCCTGCAGAGGGACGTGCCCGACCTACCCCGAGGGCCCGAGAGGCCTTCCGAGCCTCCTCCGGGGGGAGGCCCGCCCCCTCTTCTCTCTGGAATCCCGACGCGGTGCGGGTGACAGACCGTGCGGTGACCGTGACGTCCCCCGAGACCTCACCGCACGGTCCGTCGCCGCACGGTCTTGGGACCTCGGATGCCCTACGGTCAAAAACCCTAAGAAGGACGCGCGGTAAGGACGCAAGACCCTTGGAAGCCGAAGTTGGGATTTTTGGGGCGGCGGGCGACGAAAACCTCAAGGACGCAAGAGCAAGGAAGAGCAAGGACGCACGGGTACCCTGAGCAAAGTCGCGCGTCCTTATTAGGGTTTTCGACCGTAGTCGCCCGAGACATCCTCTGAACATTTTCTTAGGGTGGAGGGCTCACGGTGAGATCCGTGTGGGGCTTTTGCCCCTCGAGCGAAGATCAGTCCGTCTTGTGACTCACCCTGTTTTGCAGACTCGAGCCTCGAAAACCCATCGAAACGGCATGTCAGATTTTACCCTCTGCCCTCCACCCAACGAAAATGCTCGGATCCTCGGAGAGCGGCGACCCCGAGCCCCGACACCGCGCGGTGGCCCCGAAGCCCCACCGACTCACCGCACGGTGTGGTCACAGCCCCCCCCCCCTCCTCTCCTCCTCCTCCTCCTCCTCCTCCTCTCTCCTCCTCCTCCTCCTCCTCCTCCTCCTCCTCCTCTCCCTCCTCCTCCTCCTCTCCTCCTCCTCTCCTCCTCCTCCTCCCTCCTCCTCCTCCTCCTTCTCCTCCACCTCCCTCCTCCTCCTCCTCCTTCTTCCTCCTCCTCCTCCTCCTCCTCCTCCTCCTCCTCCTCCTCCTCCCCTCCTCCTCCTCCTCCTCCTCCTCCTCCTCCTCCTCCTCCTCCTCCTCCTCCCTCCTCCTCCTCCTCCTCCTCCTCCTCCTCTTCCTCCTCCTCCTCCTCCGTCTGGGGGCCCTGCGTCTCTCCCTCCCGCCTTTGCCCCCGCCCCCGAGGAGCCCGCGCCCGTCGAGAGGCAGGGGGCCAAGGGGCTCTCCCGCGCTCCCCGGGGGCCCGCGCCGGCGCGCGGGGCTCCCGGGCAACGAGGCCTTGGGTCGGGCGTGCCCTCCTGCAGGAGGAGGATGAGGAGGAGGAGGAGGAGGAGGAGGAGGAGGAGGAGGAGGAGGAGGAGGAGGAGGAGGAGGAGGAGGAGGAGCAGGTGGAAGAGCAGGTGGAGGAGCAGGTGGAGGTGGAGGTGGAGGAGGAGGAGGAGGAGGAGGAGGAGAGGAGGAGGAGGAGGAGGAGGATGAGGAGAATGGCAGGAGGAGGAGGAGGGAGGAGGAGGGAGGAGGAGGAGGAGGAGGAGGAGGAGGAGGAGGAGGAGGAGGAGGACGAGGAGGAGGAGGAGTGAAAGACTCTTCAAACATAGCCGAACATAATCAAAAGATCGCCCCCCGACTATGTCTGGACTATTTTTGAAGGTTCCTCCTGTAGAGGGACACGCCCGACTTGAGCCCAGGGTGGGGGGGTGGGGGCGGGGAAGGGAGACTTCTCAGATGGTGTCGGGGCTTTGCAGGAGGCGGAGGGACTCCTACCAGCCCTCCGGGCCAAGGCGCTCCAGCGGCATCCTTGGCATCGCTCGCACGCCCATCTTCCGTGCGTTTCTCGACTCCGTGCGAGACCTTCTCCCCAGAGGGATCCCAAGTGCTCCTCGATGGTCCTCTCCTTGGCATTGCTCGGACGCCCATCTTCCGTGCGGTTCTCGACTCCGTGCGGGGCGTTTTTTTTCCCCAGAGGGTTCCCAGATGCTCCTCCGAGCGCAGAGCTCAGGAGTGCAGAGCGTGGAGCTCGAATGGGCGGTACACCTCGCCGACAGATCGGCCACGGGCCCCCGACAGCGAGCCCGACCGAATGCGCCCGAGTGCGCCCGGGCGGGGTAGGCAATCGGGCGCACTATCGGTGATCGATGGACGACTCAAGTGCCCGAGCGATGCCAAGGGATGCCTCGCCGCTGCCCTCGGTCGTCGTCGTCGTCGTCGTCGTCGTCGTCGTCGTCGTCGTCGTCGTCGTCGTCGTCGTGGTCCTCGCCGAGAGAAAGAGTGCGCTCGCCCGAGCGGCGCCGACCATCCAGCTGTCTTCCCGTCCGGGAGGCCCGTCGCCCCCGGCCCCTGGCCCGAGGTAGGTCTTCCGGGGGCGGGCCGCCTAGCGCTGCTGCAGCCAGACGTTAGGTCGGGCACGTCCCCCTACAGGCGGATGTTGGACGACAATTTAAAAAAAGAATCCCAACACACTATCAACAAATGCTCAAACAAATCGTCCCCCCGACTATTTTTTGACTATGTTTGAATATGTCCTCCTGCTGAGGGACAGGCCCGACTGAACCCCGACCCCCGACCTTTTGGGGGGCTGTCGACTGGACCATCCGCTTTGGGCCCATAGCTCGGGGACGTGCGACGGGGGGGCGTTCCTCGCCTCGAGGGGGGGTGCGTTCGAGCAGCCCCCCCCCTTCTCTGCTGCGCAGCTGGACATTTCTCTTGGAACATGGTCGGGGGGTTGGGGGCGAGCCAGCGCCGGCGGTCCTGGAGCAGAGCGCAGCAGCGCGAAGGATCCCGACCGGAGCCTCTACAGTCGGCCCGCAGCACAAGGACGCACGATCAGGATGCACGGGCCTTTGGAAGGCCATTGCGAAGCTTCTCGAGCGGGGCGCGGCCAACGAGAGTGGCCAAGGATGGGCCGAGGAGGCAAGGATGCAAAGGTACCCTTGGGAAGGTGACCTATACTTGCCATGTGGGTCCACTGTAGACCCCATCTTCCTGCGCCATTTCTCGAGCCGCATCGACCTCTGAAGGCCCCAGGACCCGAAACCGGGCGAACAAGCCCGCTGCGAGAAAATTGCGACGCCAGGATCTCTGGCGTCGATCTCTGGGAGCGCGAGGTCGCCGGCGATCAAGGCCCCCAGAAGCCAAGAGAGAGCTTCTGGAAGCCGCTCGAGAACGCCAGATGACGTTCGGTTCCTTGATAGGGCGCGTCGCGAGACCTCGCGCGACGCTTCGATTCGAGATCCACCTGCACGGAGAACACGAGGCGATAGACACGGGGGCGTCGAAGCGTATCCTGGTAGGGCAGGAGGGCGCCGTCGGTGGCCCCCTGCGCGCTCGCCGAGTCGTCCTCCTCGCCGCCCTCAGCGGACCGCCTGCCCGGAGCCTCGTACAGCTTGCGGATGTTCACCAGGTGCGCGGGCGTCTGGTCCACCTGGCAGGCTCCGCGGGCCCTGGGTACCAGCCGTACGTTTGTGTGTGTATATACAGATTCCTCCTCCTATATTTTGGCACGCCTGGGGTGGGGACCCGAGAATGGGAGAACTTACAATCAAGTGACATGTATTCCAACCATTCCAGTCCCAACCCCAACCAAATCGTGCCAACTACAACTGCGTTTCAAGTTTTTGCTTTAAACAATTAAAAAAATAAAAAAGCGATTCCTAAACGTTTCCCAACGGTTCCTGAGAGGCCACTTAGGGGCTCCTTAGAAGCTCCTCAGAAGCTCCTTAGAGACTCCTTATAATCTCCTTCGAATCTCCTTGGAGTCTCCTTAGAAGCTCCTGAGATGCTCCTTAAAGAGAGGAAGCTCCCTAGAAGCTCCTTAGAAGCGCACGAACAGCTCCTTATAAACTCCCTAGAAGCTTCTGGGAGGCTCCTTGGGCGCTCCAGAAAAAAAGGGCTCCTTCTGAGAGGCTCCTTGGATGCTCCTTAGAAGCTCTTTACAAGGTTCTTACGAGCTCCTGAGAGGCTCGTAAGAGGCTCCCTCCTTAGAAGCTCCGTAGAAGCTTCTTACGTATGTACAGGCTCCTGCGCAGCTCCTGACAGGCTCCGAAACAATGCTCCTCAGCAGCTCCTTGGAAGCTCCTTAGAGAATCCTTAGAGGCTCCGTAGAAGCTCCTTTGAGGCTCCTTAGAAGCGCCTTCAAAGCTCCGTAGAGGCTCCTGAGGAGCTCCCTGGGAACTCCTTAATAGCTCTTTCGAAGCTCCGTAGGAGCTCCTTAAGACCTCCTTGCTCATCGAAAGCTCCTAAAAAGCTCCTGGGGAGCCCCGTAGAGGCTCCTTGGAAGCTCTTTAGAAGCTCCTTAGAAGCGCATTAGAAGCTCCTTAGAAGCGCATTAAAAGCTCCTTAGAAGCTTCTGGGAGGCTCCCTAGAGGCTCCAGGGAAAAGGCTCCTTAGAGGCTCCTTAGAAGTTCTTTACACGCTCCTTCGGGAACTCCTGAGCGGCTCCTTAGATGTTCTTTATCGGCTCCTGCGCACCTCCTTAGAGGTCGCAAAGGCTCCTCAGCAGCTCCTTGGAAGCTCCTCAGAAGCTCCTTATGAGCTCCTGGGAAGCTCCTCGGAGGCTCTTGAGAGGAACTTCAAGAAGGTTGTTGGGAGGATATCTGGAGGATTGCTCGAGGATGTCCGAAGGATGCATGTGCAAACCTGGGGATTCCAGGAGGAGGAGGAAGAGGAGGAGGAGGAGGAGGAGGAGGAGGAGGAGGAAAGAGCCAGAAAAGGAGGAAGGAAGACACGGCCGAGGACAACGAGGATGATACATCGGGCTTTCGATATGTGTTGTTGTGTGAGAGGTGTGTAGGTA